TAAATTCGCGAACGAACCTGAAAAAGCCCGGAAATCGCGATATTATCTGTAGGTACCTACTTGAAAACAGCGGTTGTAAATGAGGCAAGTACAGAGAATAGCATTAGCTTAACAAAAAGCGAATTATTACATGTGAGAATTGCAACGTCTGGAAGACGGCGATCCGACGTTGTTTAATTGCATAGAGGGATTTAATTGCCATTTTAACCAATTGCCGACGTTGGAATTGGTGCGGAATAAGTCGGGTAGTCAAGAAAATGCTACTGGGATACTAAGGTAAATAAAGGTGTCAAAATATGAAAATATTTTTGTAATAAATGATAGAAGAGGTTGGTAATTTCCACTATTAACTAGCCTTTTTTTTCAACAATGCCTCATTTGTTTTTTATTTCATGATATCTTTTAATTCGAAGAAATGATGCTAAAAACATACGTATACTATTGTTGTTTTGATTAGCAACTATAAATTGTTTCTGGATCATTATTTCGTCTAGAAAGAAAAGCTAATACGTCGATTTAGAGACGATTTTGAATAACAAAAAACGACATTTCTTTGGTCTTCCCCTGAGCCGCTTTTTCCTGGCTTGTTTAAATCCAGTTTTTACCGTCTCGCTGATGGCAGCGATGTTACGGTCCTCGAAGTGACTCTTGCTTCAACTTTCTCAGCAATAGGTACTTCATCAACCAATATCTACATGTTGTGAACATTTAATAATAAATAATAAATAAGAGTTTTCAACACTAGCTCCAATCTTTTTTAAAGAGGGATAGTTTGTCATCATTATTACATTAAAAATAGCCGAATTTAAATAGATGGATATAGATAGAACTTTTCTACGTATTCTGGTTATGGTAGAGGCCTAGGTACGTCAAAATTTTGTTTGAATTTATTTTTTTAATTTGGTCATCACTTTGCATTTGAATGGTCTTATATCATTAGATAGTTCTAGCAACCCACAAAAAGCAATTCCGATTAACTCTATTTGACAATTTTGACACATAGAAATGTCAATCGTATTTCGCTTACGGACATAGACAGCAGTTCGGTTGAGAAAACGATAGACATGAGCAAGAATATTTTTATAGTTATTATTTATGTGACGTCACTCCATTTTTTTAGTTCTTGCTTTTGGTTTCGCAGTTTGTCCAATTTCAATTTTTTATGCAAATGATTGATAGAATAATTATTGTTTGTTTGATTTATTTTTTGAAACATCTGTGTGTTTCGAAAAATAGTCCAAAAATGTTTTTCGTCCTATCAAATAGCGGCAATGTTATGGTTCATCATTATGTATTGACACTATCCGCTCAAACTGCGCTTTGGAAAACTCTCTTGTGTGGTAAAAAATAAAACATATCAATCTTCACACAATTATAGGAACAGTTTTTTTAAAAAATCCTATCTATGTGGCTTAATTTTTATTAGGTATTGTTTTTGTATTGCCATTATTTCTATGATAATATAATCCTTTAATAGCCTTTTTCATTCCAAATAATGAATAATAAACCAATTTGAATAAGAGCAATGATATAGTATTCGAACATTTACGTTGGATTTGATGCGCACCAGAAAATTATCATTTTTTAAATACAGCTATCCAGAAATGGCGAGAATCAAGCTGGTGCGACGTCCCATAAACGCTTTAAAATGAAGCTATCCTGTTGGATGCGAGCCAGCAAATTTATTTTATCAATAAAGCGCAATTAGGTACAAAGCGATACTTCCTCGTTTCTGACAATATTGTATGGTATATTGCACGTTGCACGCGAATTATTTGTGGGGCTGTATGGGGGCCAATAAAGTTAAATCGTCGATAAAGAGACTTTCTTGAATTCTACTAACTTAATCGTCATGCTTTGGCTTTGGGAAAAGCAAAAGTAACCTTGTTCATTATTGCGAATTTTTTTCTATTACTTTGATGATATTTATCCCTTTTAGTTTAGCGCCTATACCTACAGCTATTAGATTTAAATAAAATCTATCAAATGAAGTTCTTTTCAATTATCTTTGTTAATAAAATATAAAACAACTTCATATTATTTCGACAACCTGAGATTTAATTTGGTGGTGATTTTTTATAATATCAACTCATAACATAAGAACTTATCTACAGGATGGTCCAAAAAAAAACGGAATTTTGTTTTTGAGCTGTAACTGTTTTTGTTGTTGACCAATTTCCTTTAGGTTTAGGCTTGTTTGGAAGAGAAAGAAGTTTCACTTCTACCACGTGTTTGGCGCTGCACATGTTTTTTTTTCCATAGGCTGGAAACCTATATCGTAGGAAGATGTAGGAGCCAGATAAGAAAAAAATATACCTATATATATTTCCAAGATGAAAAATTCGGAGTTGAAAACTCGAAATTAATATAATAATTCTGAATTGATAACTCAAAATTAGTAAGCATACTTCTGACTTGTTAACTCGGAATTACTATTGACAAACAAAAACCAATAATGTGTCTTCTATGTAAGAAATATCAGCTACCCCAATCAACACACTCATTCAAAATTATTAGCCTTTAATTAAAAATTAGGTGCTCCTCTAGTTTTTGAGAAAATCAAAAAAAACTAAGCGATTGCTAGGTTTATGAAAGCTTGTAGTCCCCTAATAAAAAAAATCTGTAACTCACTTAATAATTAACCTATTCAATTTTTTCTTCAACTATTTAGAAGCACCTAGAAAGCACCTAATTTTGATATAAAAAAAATTGAAAACATATTTTTTATGGGTGATCTTTCTGATCAATTGAGACACCGACATCATCACGAGTCACAGATCAAGAGGACCGGAGTCTATGATAACTGAGCCACCATGTTTTTGGTCAGTTTTTCCGCCATTATTGCCTTAACCTAATGGAGATAGATCCTGTTGTTTCTGGCAATATCCCACAGTGAGTTATGTGCAATTTTAGTACCTACTTAGCCGGATGTAATCTTATTGGCGTATGTAACTTTCCACTTCTCAGGACATATACTAGTGAATTCCAAAACTAGCCCATATTTAGATCTTCAGCACCTTCAATAATGGGCGCATATTATGGTCCTGTGCGTATTGTATATAAAATTATTGAGATCTACCACACCATGTTAATTTCTTATACAGAAGATGAAGCTATGTTAGGTATGAGTCAACATAGTTTTGCGTTCACAATAACCAGAGCATTGAATGATTCCCACAATTCCTTATATGGGCAAGAATATCCCATAAAAACAGACCATGCATCGCTTACATGAAAATAAGAAGGACACGCAGCAAGCTGACAGGAGAAATTGCAATAGTACAATTTTCAAATCAAACATCATAGCAACGCAGATGCATTATCCAGGCAAGTTCAAACCAATGCAAGCACTGCCTCAGAACTGATCAGCGTGGAGGAGTTCCATTTAGAAGCTTCCAATTTGGAGTGAATCAAGATAATGACATCAAACCAATTTTGGGTTATAGGCGAATCCAGACCAACCTGACACGAAACTTCACCTAGAAGGGCGCCTTTGGCTCAAGAGGACTCACTGTTAGCTGGAAATGGTTAACTGAAATGAATCTGGTATAAGGAGGTCAACGCAATTGGTCATGCCAAGGACAAAAGTTGTTCGAGTTTTAGAAGTTAACGATGGGACATCCGGAGCTCACTTAGGAGTCAACTAGACCTCCTAAAGATACGTGACTGAACTTACTGGGGTTAACTATCACCACGAGGCTGCTTAAAGACAGATTAATAATGACATCTTCAACGAAATTCCACAGGAAACAATACAACAAGAAATGAGCGAGATTCCCAGATTAGAGAGGGTTGAAAAGGCAATCAGACAACTGAAGAACAATAGCAATCAGACAACTAAAGAACAGTTAGCTGGTACTGCTGAATTCTTTAAACAAGGAGGCTCCACACTAAGTACCCAAACCCACATCCTAATAGGTAAAATATGGATTGGAGTCCATACCTGCCGAACTAAGAGATGCCTTCATGGTTGCCAGAATATTATCAAATCGTCTAATCCCAGCTGCTGGACAGAACCTCCCAGAGACGCAGTGTGGCTCAAGACCCAACCGAGGTACAGCTGACATCACGACATCAGCGCTGAGACTAAATTGCCTGTCTACGATGCAGTTATGATACCAACACTTACATAATGGCTGCAAAAAAAAATGTACCATCTACAAAAGACACATAAAAAGCCAAGAAAAGTGAGCGGCTCCAGAATTGGTTTAGTAGATAGCCATCAGAAAACACAGAATCGACGACAATAATAAGAAAAGAATAGAAGATAATCATACTCGGTATCGAGTGATCGCCTATGATGATGATCACCACAATTTCAAGTATGCCGCAATGTAACATGCGAAGCAAGTCAAATTCCTTAGTCGCGATTCAAGATATAAATAAAGCACTCCCTCAGATCTGGAATCCAAATTTCTATGGGGTAGCTTTGTTACCACCTTCCCGCCTAATAGTCTTAGGTTCTTTGTTGTGACTATATTTTCTCAAAAAGCTTTGGAATTAAATTGCTGTTTCTATTAGAATTATTCTAATTCTGATTATACAAGTCAGAATTTAATTAATTTCGAGTCAGCGATCAATTTTGTTCCTTATGTGTCCCATCTACCACTTCGTGATAGGTCATACAAAACTTTATAGCAAGCACTTTAAAAATACACAGCTAAATTTGATGGCGGGTTTAAGTATCACAGTTTTGTGACAGGTCAAGACAAATTTAGGTTTTGCTAAACTAGGGTTCCAGACAAATATATAAATATTTAAATTATTTTCGTAGCGTTTAGGATTTCAACCAACCCTTTCCAAAATATTTTGTTTGGCGGAACCATATTTTGAATAATTAATTTGCCAATTCTCTACTACAATTATCCATTTTTCTCTTTAAAATTCTTTATAAACTTCAAAATTGAGCTAAGGCATTATTTTTTTCTTTTTTTTTTGAAAATAAGATTGAAGCATATTTCCTAACATTAGTTTTTTTTTTTACTGAAGAATAATTTTACCATTTTCGCAACGGTAATGGACCTCAATGTATTTGGGTGTTCCTCTGCATGGATCGTCAAAAACTTCGTTGCTTACTTCAACTGAACAGGCAGATTTATAAGAACATCTGAAAAGACAAAACCCGCCCTTTATATCATTTAGCTAGTTAGCTTTATACCCCCTTTTTAAAGCGAGCACACATACACACAAACCAAAAACATAGAAAAGCCCTTTTAGCGTTCAGAAAAAGCTTCGGTTAAAAATGCCGGCTTTGGAGATTTTCCACCTCGGTTTGTATATTTTTCATTTTCAAAGGAAATTGTGACAAATATGTGGATAAATTGTTTCCAGGATTTTTACGATGCCATTGATATGCATTGAAAGGGGTTATTCCTCGGCCTAACTTTATCGCTTGAAGCCGACATACCTTTCAAACAAAGGAAGGACGAATAACCAATGTGGAAAGTATCCATATTTAATGACATCAAAATAATGTACCAGTAAACGCGTTAGAAAAAGTAATTCCTACATCTCAAAGAGCATTCCTTTGTAATTCAAACATTGATAATCCCAAAAAGCTCTACTGTAGAGTATAAGCTTAAAACTTTAAAATTAATTTTAATCAAAGCAAATTAAATCTTAAGAAACATCGCGTTCTGATACAAAACTTTATTATTAAAATAAGCAAGATGTTAAGAAGTGTTTTAAAAGTTAATTAATAAAATATTCCCTGACAGGCTCAGTAGCTAGGTATTATCAATAAAGGATAATTTTAATTAAAATTGGGTTTTTATAGGAAAAAATTATGATTTTAATTAATTTAGGGCCGGTCTATTCAACTTCGGATAAACTGTCAGGTATACAATCTGGCAGATAAAAACGCAATCTGTAATCCCATTGGTTGGCCAGTTATTCGCCGACCAATAAAATTGGAGAACGGTAAATTTATCTTGCAGATAGGTATCAGCAAATTTATCTGGAGATGAGCAAACTGAATATTATTATTTTGTGAACCAATCATTTGTAATATACCGGGTGAATGGTAAGTGGACGTATTCCTTTGAGAAGGTAAAAGTAGAGCCTGCTACTTTGCTACCGATTGAACATAATTTACCTCTAAAACATTCTTAACTGTTTTTGAGATATTTATTCTTTTTTAACTTTCAAGAAATTCACTTCTTTGCCAGGTAAATATTTGAAGTTAAGGGAAATAATAAAAGCCTTTCCAAATGTCGCTTTTTAAATTATAAGTTGACATATCAGCGTTGAAAATTATCAAGATAATGTTAAAACTATTAAATTATTTCGGTTTAGACTTAACTTCCCTTGTTAAGCTACAAACTAATGGTTACTTTATGCTTGAAAATTTCGAAAATTTCATGGTAGGTACATCAAAAGTACAAATTGTTGTTAAAAGTTCTCGATTTCATTGTCTTCAGAATAAGGCACAATATTTCAGAATTACCTGGTCTTTTGTTTTATTATTAAAAAAATAAGTTTTATTTGTAAGAGTACCTAACTTATATTAATAAAAAATTACTCGACATGCTTTTAATACCAAGTGTTGCAAAAGAAATGTTATCAAATATTGGTGTTAAAATTTACCTTAATTAGGTACGTTCCCTATTATTTCGTTAATTTTAAATATTTACTTGGCAAAAAAGGGAATTTCTTAAAAATAAAAATAAAAAAATATCTCGAAAACCAAAATAATGTTTAATCGGTAGCAAATGAGCTCTACTTCCACCTTCTCAAAGGAACACGTCCACTTACCAGTCAACCTATATATTACAATTTGATTTCAAATGCACCAGCAGAATAAAATCTGGATATTGAGGTGATCGCAGAAAAGTGGCCCGATTTTTATATAAAATCCCTCGTAAAATCCTCATTACCTTTAGATGACTATTCATAAGATTGTCATCCCTTTGACTAGATAGCGTTTTACAAAATCAGCTTTTTATCTGTTTTAAATGCAAATTTAATAACTAATACTACATAATCTTTTCTTTCATCCGACGCGAGTACTGCAAATCCGGCATTTTTATCAGGTAAAACTTCGAAAGCTAAAAACGTGAATATTAATGAAACCTGTACATACATATTACAATGATAGATGTTAGTTTTGCCCTGAAAAGTGATGATGTTGCTTTGCTAAGTTAACCGAAATAGCTAGCTAACTGCGAAGACGGATTTAACACATTAAACCACATATCTCACAAACAAGTTTAATTGTACAAATTAATAGTGGCATATCAGCGAATTGGGGTCAAAGATTATTTCGATGTTCGGGTGAAATACATATGTCATATAAGTAGAAGTATAGGTACCTATTTGGCCATAGTCTTTAATGAAAAATGGTTATGATTTTGAGCCAAATAAAATATTTATAACGCTTGGAAGGTGCAGCAAACCTATTGTGACTTGTGAGTACCTATTTAAATGATCAACAGTTTACATATAAAAATAAATTGAATTGGCCAAAACATACGAAAACAATTCGCAAACCTAAATTCTTCCTGAAACTTCCTAAAGAATTCAAAAAGATTGTTTGTAAAATAAATGGAACGTATTATTAAACTTTCCCAGAATAAGATATTTTTTTTCTTTTACTTAGCTATTCTATTTTTATAAATCCCTTTGATTGTTGGCCTGGGAGTTTTTTTAAATTAATTGCGACTTGTTATATTTCAAACTTGCAACTGTTTTTGATAATCTAAAAAAAAAATACGGAAAAATATCGTTTCAGTCGATTATTTGATTTTTGTCCACTTTGACTGTTTTATAAAATTTTAAAAAATCATGCTGTTAAATTTTTGAACAGAAAAATAGGAGGGTGAAGGTAAACACTTGAAATGAACGAAACGGGTAGCAGTTAATGAGTGAAAAACAAAGGGAGGCACACAATGTTTTTTAGTATTTTATTTTTGTAGAGCGACGGAAAACCCCAATACAGAGCCGCGAAAATATTTTTTAACAGCAATATAACATACAGTACTGACAGTAACAAAAAGCATTTAATAACACATGCCATATCTGGAAGTGGAGGGTTTAAATTTGATTATTTTTTAAATACTACCTACGCCCAAATTAATAGCTTGATGGCTGGATGAAATTTTTTTTTAACTAATCGAGAATTATATTCTAAAATACAAAAATGAAATATCTAAGGATTTAATTTAACGTGTTATTTTGTCAAGGTTTAACTGAAACAATGTGAGAAAAAAGAAAGGCTAGTTGTGCCCTCGATACCAATTTTCCGAACGCCGGAAAAATAACTTACTCCCATCCGATAGGTCCGGTCCATTCAAATCTAGAAAAAATATGGCTTTGCCTTAAATTAACACATGCGAATGAAAACCAGCTTTTATCGTTTTTTTAACTGAGTTGCAGTTCAATCCGATAGAGTCAGAAAAAGTTAGATTTTAATAAAAATAAATGTGAAAGCAATTTTTTTTTTGGTTCAAGATTAGAAAATATTTGAATATGGTTGGGAATCTGACGCCTCCTAGGAAGCCTTTTAAAGGTGCTCTATACAAGTCGCGAACATCCACCTAAAAAACATGAAATCCTATGTAAAATGACCTGCCGGATTCGAATTTGTTGTTCGCCCTTTGATCCGGAATTGCGAAATGTGTCAAAACATGACATTTTTGAAAAAACTGAAAATTTCCATTGAAATATTTTTTTTTTGAAAACTAGTGCATAACTTTGTTAATTGATGTCCGATTGTAATGAATTTTGGATATGATATTTTTCAGTACTTCCCTGACATAGTTTCATAACAATAAAAAACATAGAACGTCACATAAAAGCTACGTAATTTTTTTTTCGCCAGATGACACAAAATATCGTCATTTTACAGCGTTAAATGGTGAGTCGAGAAAACTTTTTTATCTTTATACCTAGTATAAGCGAGAAAAATGTTGCCATTAGAATAAAGAAACTTTTTTACAAAAACTTTTTTTCCATACGACGTTTAGTTTGAGGTGTATTCTTTTTTAAAAACCGAAGAAAATTGAATCGTCGCGTCTCAACTCTCGGCATTGCCGGTTAGCGCGGTCTCAGGACGCGTTGCAGCGGATAAAGCGATCAGTGTGTCAGAGTTAACACCACAGCCTTCTTCATATGTGCAACAAAGATAACGCGACGACGCCGACGGCAGAAGCGTTCCTTTTGAATTTCATTTTGTTTTTCACCCGCTTATGTTTGTTATTGTAAAAGACATGTACAAGTACCTACCTATCATAAGTCAAAATATCAGTTTCAACGAGTGTATTTTGTGTCAATCAAATAATTAGGAAACGGTACAGAGTGTTACAAAAGAAGCCGTACCTACATTTCCAGTTCCAAGCATGTATTGTAATTGTCATTGAGAAAGGTAATCGTTATTTCATAGCTCTTACGGCCAATTTCATAATCAACTTAAAGTAAACTTTCCATTGGAAGTTGAAAAATCTCATCCTAAAAGTCTATTTAGCTAAAGTAAGTTTTAATTCTCTATTATGAAATTGGCCGTTAGATACTATGCTGACAAAATAGAACTGTTTTTATCATTGAATCGTGTTTATCACCCTAAATTCTTAATGTAGACGAGCTTATACCAGGAAAGCCTACAAGAAAAGACCTGAACCAGAAGAAGGTGCTCCAAAATGTACTAGTAAGCGAATTAAATCCTCTTATTCAAAGATTTGCATAATATGCAATAAAATTCGCGATAATAGGGGTTTGAGAAGACTCAAGCAAATACTGACATTTGATAAGCAAAATGAAATATGGAACATGGCAAAAACAACCATCAACTTTCGCATTGAATTCAAGGATTTGGTAATAATTGTATTGACATGATTGCCCACGAATGTGCATATCAATCGTATCATAGTCTGTGTTTCTTGAAACTATTTCAAAAATTAAAATCAGAAGTAAATTCCCTACAAGAATCTGAAGTACTTTCGTTTGGAAATATTTTTATTAAATTTCAATCTTATATAGAAAATGCCCTATTTATAGAAAATAGGGTCTTCACAATAGAAATCATCCTACATAGGGAAGCAAGGAAGCAAAGTTATGGAACGTTGAGTGAACTGCACAATATCCATCGTGAGAAGAGATTATCAATAACCTGCA